CCCAGCCAAAACCAGGACAATAACACAAATACTCCCATGAAAATCCAAATTTGATCTTAAGATGAAACATTGAAGTTTTGTTTATAGCATCTTTCACCATTCATATCTGCCTTCAGTTCTGGTATTTTATTCCTGCAGGACGACACAGACGTTATTTTTCCCACATCCCATATGTCCAAGTCATGTATAAAGATATTTAGCTCAAATACCATGCGTGCGAAACATTCCACACTGTGGGTTCGAGGTGACGTTTGGTGTGTCTTTAACATGCTGTGGTGTTCAATTACAATACAGCAAATTTATTTTTATGCAGCCTTCTTCATAGAAAGTATGGAAATTTGCTTTGCAGTGAGTCATCTGTCAGCTAAAGAACTAAAAACCTTGTAGTGATATTTAAAGAGAGAAAGTGGCTCAGAGCTGACAGAGTTCAAGACAGAAAAAGAAACAGAAATGAAAGAGAGGGCCTCCAACCATGGAGAAAATAGAGGCAAAGACTGGTAGGGGGAGGAGTGATGAGAAAGCCAAACAAGCTGAGAATGTCAGAGGCAGTTCAGGAGACTATGCAGATCATTCGGAACAAGCATTGGGCTTCAGGCATCTCTCCGGCATTACACCAGTGTTAGCCAAGCAAAGATTCTTTGACCCTAAGGGAATGGTGTAAAACCAGATAAATAAGAGCATTGGGCTGAGTGCACTGTGGGGGATTTAGAAACATGCAGGTAGAGGTTGAGGGAAGGGTAAATGTCTTAACTTTCTAGAGCAAGACGTTAGAAGAACACTGGCATTCTGGACTCCATGATATTTAAATGTGTGAGGCTTTTGTTAGACCATGAAAGAGGGAATTTCAGTTAATTAGACAGGAATTATTATAGGCATGAATATGGACTTCAGCAGCAGTGCAGTCAAAGGGAAGATGGATTCTGGGATTCTGGCAGTCTTCCCTTGCTAGTACCAGGAGGGCTTACTACACTCAGAAGCGAGCGTGTGGGAGAGGCAGTCACTTCAGGGTCAGAGATTACTTTAGAACTCTGGCTTTGTGTACAGGGATAAGATCTGAGTAAAGAAGCATGAAAGCTGTCTTGGAGAGCAAGAGGGACTTCTTTCCCTTGACATTTGAGGCTTTTGAAGAATTAGCTAGTCAGGAAATTACAATGTAGCAAGGGAATGACAGAATCAAGACAGGCTGTTAAAGAGATCAGAGATTACTTGCCAAGGTCACTGATGCCTTGCATGCTTTCCCTATAAAGCTGATGTCCAAAGCTGAGCTAGCAGTAAGATATCCCAAAGGAGGAAGATGTTTAAGGAGGAGAAAGTAGAAGGATCAGAAACAGATGCCTGGTGTTTTTAAGGCACAGCACTATCGTGGGGGGATATCGTTGATATAAGCACTATCATCTTTTATTGTGAATTACATGCATTCTTCATGCGTTCTTGGTCAAGTCTACCAACTGGTGGTGTGTGGGAGCTCTTGGGGGAGCTCTCTCATCCTGCGTCCCCCAGCCTGCCCGTACTGTTTTTTGCCCTGGCAATTCTTTTGACCTCACTCTCTGTATAGAACCATATTATCTGCTTTAAGAAAGTAAATGTGATGTAAAGTATGTAGCACAAAGAAAAGTACAGTCTTTACTGAAAGCAGAAGGGAAAAGAACTTGTCTTCTTACTCAGAGCATTCCGAAAAGTTGGCTTTGACATTGTAGTACTGAAAGGCATTCTAAGCATAAAAGTAAGGTTAGAGCCACTCAGACATCCCAGAATTTGAAGGGAGTAATATTTCATTGTATATTGTAATATTGTATGCAGTTCCAAAATGCTTATTACAGATTTTCGTATTTACAACTATCATGTCTCTTTTGAATCTGCAGAGGAGGAATATCAAGGACAAACCAAGAGAAGACGCATTCGAAGGAAAAAACAAAAGAACAGTTTGCAAAACTCTAATAATTTACATGGAGAACAAACAGAATCTGGAATGCAAGAGACTCTTGTTCAAGATAATTTACAGCTGCAGCAGATAGACAGTCCCAAAATAAGTAAAAACAAAAAGAGGAAAATGAAGAAGAAACGACAGAAAGAAAAAATGAGAGCAGCTGGCTTGGTAACAAAAACTACCAGTGTGGATTTTACATATCAGCCTGACAAAAACAACAGAGAAGAAGCAGCAGGCTTAAAAGACATAGATGAAAAAGCAGATAGCATTCTGGACTTCCTGCAGGCAACACAACAAATTTATTTTGCTGACAGTATGTCCACTCTTTCTCCTTTTTTTTCATGAGTATTACCGCGTAGGGCAAGATAGATGTGTACTTATTATTGCTGTAGAATGGGCCAAATCTACTAGAGAAGTGTCTCTTTTGAACTCAGTAAGACATGCGAGTACTTAGTATTTGTCCCTTTTTCTGGTATGTAAGAATCCACATCAATATAAAAAACTGTGGTCCTAATCTCTTTGTTTCTCTGTCTTTGAAAATATGCATAATATTCCTTGCTCTTTTTTAAAATATTTCAATGCACTTGGGGTAAATGCAGTGGTTAAAATGGACCAAATTCTTCTTTCCTCTGCAAGCAAACATCCAGAAGGATTACTTCCTTTCAGAGGGCTTCAAATGAGGGCAATAATTGCTATCCTAAACTACTTTCATGCTTACTATCTCTGAACCAACCTACTTTTCAGAAAGTTCTCCTTCCCAGGAGGAGATTTATTTGTAATATAAAAGGAAATCTAGACAGACAGCATCCAAGAGGAAAGGGGAAGATACTGGTGGCACTGCGAAAGTGTATTGGCATAAAGCACTTGTGAATAAGATGAATGTGAACTGATGCTCAATGTACATTCCATAGCACTTTAAAAAGGATTGCATGGATGGTATCCCTAATGGCCACTAAAATCAGAGAAATTCCTACTGCATGTTTCTTCTGTTGCCTTCCTAAAAAGCTGCTTGTATGGTGCTTATGTCATAAATGCCTTTCAGAGAGAATGAAGTTTTAATGGTAAGTATAGTAATTATGTGTATATACATCAGATTATGTTGGTATCATCTAGAATTAAATATGTTTTCTTAAGGGCAATTTGGTGTGTTCTTTAGTTGCTCAGCTCAGGACATAGCTTTAAAATTATAACTGTCTTGTAAAACTGGAAAAAAGCAGTGAAAATTTTCTCAAAGTGCATGGCCTTGACTGTCTTTGTGGAGCTGAATGAAGAGTATTAAACAATTTACCTACCTGTATGAGTCCATCTTAAGTCAGAGCTGTCAGCTTCTAGTCCCATAAAATTCATCTTTGACTACAGAATTACTTTAAAAACCCTGTTAAGATGACATCAGGGATTCCAGGTTAATGTTTTTTCTCAAGATTTATACATAGAATTTTCTTTGCTTACTGTTAAAATATTTCTGCTGTGTCAGGTCTTCATACTAATCCTAGCATTCGAAATCCATCCTACTTTCTGGCTAATGTATTTCAATCACCAAAAATAAGATTTTTACTACTTCAGTGTATGGCTAAGTAAGCTAAAATACGTGCATTTGCTGCAGTGTAACTCCAGAGTAACTGAGCAAGATTGTAAACTCAGTTAACAGTTCTGCTGTTAATACATGACCCAGAACAGAAACCTGGTCAATTATCCACAGCCGTGTTGCATGTTGAATTTTAAGAAAAACTGTTGAGCTTCCAGCTTTTCTGGAAGTCAAGTTCAGGTTTTAGCAGTGGTTGACAGACTGACTTGGCCAAATCTGCAGATCGGAGCGTTGAGCCAGTGAGGACCTTGGAATCCACAGAGAGAAATTCTTAGGTAAAAGAAAGTTCATCTGCAGATAAGATGTCACATCTATAAATCAGAGTGTGACTAACTTTCTTGTTAGGCAAATCCCAGTTTATATATAGATCTGACATTATGCTGTTTGCCTTTTATAGTTGAGTGACTTTAACACTCCCCATTTTTTTTAGATAAAATTGGAAGCCATTGCTTTTAGCAGCATTTTCAAATGGTCACATTGGATTATTCTTCTTGTACTTATGTCAGAAAGCTGAATCGGGAAAAATCTGTTCTTCTCAGTTGGCTTGCTGATAAAAACAGAAGAATTAAATGGAGTCTGGTTAAAGGGACAGACTATATACATTGTTACTGGAACGGAAGAATGAATTTATGCTTTAGTACTATAGAAACAGTGTATGTCCTTCTCTGCTGTCTTGCATGCTGTAATATCTGCTTTTTAAATAAAAATGTAAAAGTACAATAACAAGATAATTGGATGCCTCCAGAAGTGCTTTGCAGTAGTTCCACAGAGTTGTTCCCTGTCTCCATGTGTGTGTGCATTTTTATGATACATGGTGTGTAGGAAGCAAAACCACAGTGCTTTGGCCACAGTACAGTTTCTTCATCACACCTTCTTCCTGCACTAATCTTGAAAATTTAGATTCCTCTTGTATTCCTGTCGCTATGAATCCTATTGTCCTTTTTACTTTTTGAATTTGATACTTTCCCCTCTTACTTCCCCTCTTATATTTAACGAAAAATGGGAGGAGCAAGCTGCTCTTTAGTACGTGATATTTGGTTGTAAGTTGTACTAAAAAGGAAGATGCTATCTTTGAAAAGAAAGTATAATTAGGAAAATTCTCTGGGCTCACTGAGTATTTTTAATGTGGTTTTCCAATTGTTTTTCCAGATAAATCAGAAGGCACAGATTCTGCAACTGCCCAAGAGCTTTTACAGTATCTTGAATCTCGCACCATCTCTTCCTCAGATGTGACTCTTCTGCATCAGCTGAAATCCTTTGTATTGCTACAGGATATTGAGAGATTGAAGGATGCTTTGAAACAATTCCAAGAACAAGCCATGATGCTTCCTGGTAGGTACCATTCACTCATGTTCATTCACTGATGTTCTTTTTTGTGTGGATTAAAATTCAGATTTGTCACAGTTTGGTTTTTTTTATTAGGAAGCTGTAAATAATTATATAGTGGTAAACTTATGCTTATACAAGATTTGAAAACGTAATTTCCACCAAAAATAAAGTGATTTTCCCTGTTTCTTGTTTGGTTACAATCAATACAGAAACTTTTCATATTTTGCAGCAACTATAGTGTACAAGATGATTCAGGTTCTTAAAACAATATTTTTTAAATCTTAACTGTTTTAATATTTAATCATGTTTAAAGCATATTTTTAATACATTCTCTTTGTAGACTTTTTAAATCACAGCAATTAACTTTTTTATCTTGGAGATTTCATCCAGTTAAGGATTAATTTTAGATGCATCAGAATCAATAAAGCCCATTATTTCATTTCTTCTTGGTCACCTACGTGGCTTCTTTAACACATAGATTTTCCATGCCAAAGTTTGATTTACAGCTTTGTTTTTGTTTAAATATAAACGTCTGGTTTAAGTTTCTAAAAAATACTGTTGATTATGTAAAAATGTAAAGTCACTCTTTATAATAAATGATATTGTAAAGTCATTCATAAAAAGAAAAATTATTCTGTTACTAGATCTTTTCATCCCTGAGGCACAAGTCTGATTTCATTCATTCTCCTTTTGTTCTCTATTATAACCCCTATAATTTTAGTAGAATTTCTTCTTGGACAGTTAGTAGTTCCTCAAGTGAATGTGGGATCAGCATGTAGTCCATAGAAGCTATAATAATTCATTTCCCAAGCAGTCTTCATTTAAACAGTCATTGTTACTTGTCATTGTTACTTACATTTGTTGCAGCATCAGCCAAATCCACAAGATGTGCTGAATTTTCTTGCCTCCCAAAGAATTTAATCAGAGTTGAGAGCACTTGCTATGGCACGAGAGAATCTCAACCATCTTAGATAGCACTCTAAGCCTTTTGAAGAGTAACGACTGAGCTGGCAGTAGTGTGGTGACACAGTAAATAAGATCATAGCCATCAGAGGCTTAGCAATAACATTCAAAGAAGAGACTTCTGCTTGTAACATCATTAAATAATTTACAGCATGATAGTGGCTAAAGATCCTAGTCAAGACTGGAGCCTACTGCATGCTGTGCATTGTAAAAACACAGAAAAGAGAGAATTCCTGCCTGTAGAGTTCATAGCTGATACATTTTGAAAAGAACACTCTTACATACGTATTCTTTAAAGTGTACATTTGGAGTATGACATCCCTTAAGGTTCTGATAGATCTGAAGTATACACATACACATGGAACAAAATCCTTCTGTGCATTCAATAATTAATTTCAAGCCTAGATTCTGTGGTCTTAATTATAATCAGATAGTCTCATTGGATGTAATACACATTTGCAAACTAAATAGGACTCAGCATGAATAGTGGTAATGGTATTGGCCCTTTATTAAATGACCTAATTCAGCTTCTGTTGACTAAATCAAAATGGAACCGTTGAAGTGACCACAATGAAGATATTCCTTACAGGCCTCATCCAAATTCTGCTCAGTACAGTAGGAATTCTGTTGGGTTTTGCAGCCTTGAAGCAAGCTGCTCTGTTTACTTTTGTATAGCAGAAATGTCAAATTGAAGAGAGAAAAGAGAAGCAAATTAGATCCATGCAACTACTCTAATTTTCTGATGTATGTATTTGTCACTTGGAAAAGCAGAAAACAATTTTCTGAGTGATTTTTAAAATTCATTTTGGTTTCTGCTGATACAGCCCGAAATTGTTTACTCTTCCAGTTGATTTTTTTTTTTTCTAGTAACTGTTGTCACTCTGGGCTCAAGTCTAATCTCATTCCAAGTTCACAGTGGTGTAACCGTAGTAGTTGATTTGATATTCATGATGTACAGCAACATAAGAAAGAGGAAAATAAATTGTTATAAATTATTAAAGGATAATTAAACACCTGCTAGATATTAATTTGCCTCAGCAGAGTTTAACAATACATTCTATTTGTAATACAGGAATTTCAGTGAATGAGAATATAGTGCTCTGAAATTTTACCTTGAATTAGGCTTTTAATTATACTTTTTTTCCTACTTTTGCCTCAAAAATAGGTCATCTTGGCCAGTTTTTTTAATTTGTAGATTTCATTCCCAATGAACAGGTGATAAAAGTTAAGAGTTATTACAAAAACTTCTTGTCTCAGCAAATTCAAGTTCTTGTTATAGAAATACAGGTTAGTGCTGTTTATGAAGATAAAAACGTACAGTATATCATAATAATCTCAATTTTTTTTACAAGTTTGATTATCTTGCCTTTTTTCTGTTTTGTTTATTTTTACTGGAGCATGACGTACTGGAAGAAAAGGTCATTCCTTATTAACATGATGAAAAGGAAACAATTTTTCTTAATTTTAGCAAGGTGTATTATTTTTACAAAATAAACCTATTTTTAGTTCAAGAAGCAATATGTTAACCCTTTTTCCTGTGGTTATGATTCTAATTAAGATGCCAGTATCAAAGGAATAATAATAATGGGTGCTATGTTTTGTTCAGTTTTGTCTTTAATTCAAGGAAGGAAAGAGTAGGAAAAAAATGAGAAGTGATCCACCTCTTTCTTATAAGTGTACATTCTCCATTAGTAAACTTTACAAAGTAAACATACTATTATATATCTTTTATTTCTCATATATATATGTTATGTTTTAATCTAATTTTCCACTGGGGCTATCAAGTCCCACTTGGCAAGTTTATGCCTACTGATGATAAATTTGCTTTTCTTAGTAACTTTTCACAGACCCTTTAGAGTAAAGCTGAGGACTGCCAAAGGTCTGCAGACCACAAATTGAAAACCACTGGTTCAAGACCATGTTTTGTATTTCCTTCATACCTCTTAGCATGTTATTCAGATTGGGAATCATGGTTCAATCAAAAGAAAAAAGAAACAATGAAGAAAAAAGTTTCTGTTTTATCTTAAGCTCTTAGATCCCAATATCTGCAGTCACATCAAAGAAAGGTCTAACAAGGTTGTTGGTAGGGTCTGAAAAATTTTGCAGGAAGAGGAAGTTGCTAAGGAGATTGAAACAGAAAAGTTACCAACATTAAGGTATTATCTTTAACCTTTCATTTAAATGAGAAAACATACTTGAACAAGAAAATCTCTACTGATTGTTCTGTCTGGTTGTCATCCTCCATCAACTTACCGTTGAAACTTTGTGTTTCAAGTTACTCCATCAAGTAACTTTGATCTTGTACTTCAGCAATCATACGAAGTTGAGGTTGGTCAAGAGTTTTTGTTTGAACATTGAAGTGTCATTGTTCTCAGACTGTAAAAAAGAACAAAATGTCCTATTACTATTTCCATTTATTTGGTAGTCTTTAACAAAAAGTACTCACCTCTACATGAAGTATAGACCATGGGGAGGTCTACACGGCACCGGG